CGTCTTTCTGAAAGGGCGAGGGGCGGTGGAAGGGGCGGGGCATACGTTGGCCAGAATCTCGCTAGAAGAGCCCAGGCCGATCTCCCAAGTCGACCTTGTCAAACCCCCGCGCTTCGAGATTGCTATAACGGCATTCACTGCATCCCTATCATTGTCCCCCTCATTCTCTCCCTATCTCTCTGTCTCGCTGTCTCTCGGCCTTTACCGCTCTGTCTTGCGATGCATTCATCATTATATGGCTCCTCCCCTCGTCCCTCCTTCTTTCCCACTCTCCCTCTCTCCTGCTTTCGCTTACCGTTCCCTTCCACGCTCCCGATCTGTGTTCTCTATATATGTCCATGCCTCTCTCTACGTTGTTGGCGATGCCCCTCGACGAGTACTTAGTGGCCAGGGGAATCTCCCGCGGGGCCTGGTTGCCATCCAAGGCCGGCCTGAGGTGGCCTCCGAAAACTTCCGAGCGCGGTTTGTCGCAAACCATTGTGTTCCTTGCATCCAAAAATCTGGGCCACACCCGAAGCAAACCCCTGGCGCCCTGGGTTCCGCAGAAGTCGTCGCGTGAAACGGCGGAGAGGGAATCGAGAAGGGGAGCGCCTGCATGGGGGAGGGGGGGGGACTGGAACATGGGAGCAGTGGAGGTGCTTAGGGAAAAGGGGTCGCGGGTTCTAGCGGGGGATGGCGGGTGGGGGGGGGGGGAGCGCAACAAACCCCCACCTGGCTCGACGACGCTGCCGTTCAAACACCGCCGCCCCCGAAGCATCCGCGGGCGTCGGCAAGCCTCGCGCATTGAAACAGCAGCGGCGGCAAGAGTGCACAGATGCTAGCCCCTCCCCAATCGACGACGGCAACCCTCGGACGGCCTCGGCGCAGATTCGACCCTGCGGCAAACAAAACATAAAAAAAACGGATCCTGAAATTGTACATGCCCCTCAGGTTCGTGTTGCACAGTGGGCATGGGCTTCGCTTCGAAGACCACGTGGGTACCCCTAACATCTTGCAAGCTGCCTCCCAATCAAGCTGAACCTGTATGACTGCCCCAGCAAAGCCGAGGTCACATCCGCCGAGTGCTTTCCGAGGGTCGCTGTCGTCGAAAGGATTGTCGTCCCAATCGACATCTGGGTACTTGCCCTCTGCGATGGCGGCCAAGCACCATCGAACAAACGTGAAAAGGCGACTGTAAGTGCAATGACCACCGCACCCGCATTTACAAGACATCTGTGATCTCAGAACCACGCCAGGGTGCCTCTGACCAGTCACAAGGTTTACGACTGAAATAACCAAGACTCCCCTGACGCGTCCAGCGCTAGCCGTGCCACCGTATTTGGCGGTGTCGGTATACAACCCCAGGGGGGCGACGAATGCGCCTTCTGGCGCCCCCTGAACGATGGGGTGCTGGTGGTACGAGGGCGGCCGCGACTTCGAAGCAAACTCTGCCCGTATTTCGTTAAAGCTGTGTGGCGTGCGGGTGAGTTCTCTATGCAACAGCTCATGGTACGGGCGGCAGTTCAATAATAAATCAATCCTGGGTTTCTTTACAGTACTCTGCCCAGGACATGATACCGCGGCCGACTTCAATTGGTGAGCAATCCCTTGCCTAGCCAATTGGTCATCAACTTTCTTTTGATAATGCCCTGAAGCCCTGCCAGGTGGTAGACCCCAAGAGTTGTCGATGCATGATCCCGACTTCGAAGCCAGGTGCACCAAAACACACAGCTTGGCAGCAGATAATTCACCCGTGCAATAGAGCGACAGCAGCTCGCGCAGCAAACTTTCACCAGCTGCCCGCTGGTCATCAAGTGACTGGGGGGGGGGCCGTGGATGCGTCTGCGCTTGTCTGACATGCGCACTCACGCGCATGGGCGCTTGAGCAAAACGTTGCTAGAGACGTCTGTGCTGCTGTTGTTGCCCCAGGGGCGCCAGACAGGGGCGCGCGAGGCCCCCTGAGGCCCCGAGGCGCACCCCACAGGGAATCCAACTATCTTCTGGTGCTTCCATCGGTGCCACCAAAAACACCCGCCAGATAATCGAAACTGCACTGCTGTGCCCCCGATCGCACATCATGACTCTCCCCCTTTACACCCGCCATGTGACCCCCCTCCGCCCCCCCCCCCAACATGTCAGAAGGCTGGGTAATCTCGCATGCAGTTATGGTTGATCGCTGTCGTCGCGCGGGGGAAGGGGGGGAGGGGGCATGGTCGGATAATTGCATTGGGCGTATGCGGGGCAGGGAGGTGGGCATCTTTGCGCGTGGGGGGAAGGGGCGGGGGCACGTTGGCCGATCTCGGAGCCATCTTCAACAACGGCGTGGGCCATCTTGGGCCTTGCCGCGGCGAGCCGCCCCCCTGCGCCCTCCTGAAAAGCATCTCGCACTGGCGTTGGGGACGAGAGGGGAGGAGGGAACTGAGGAACTAGCTAGCGAGGAAGGGCGGTGAGAGCAGAGCTGCAAGATAGAGGACACCGATCATGCGTCGGAATGGCTACCCCGCGTGCCGCGCCCCAGGAGCTCCAGATACCGACACGGTCAAGCTGGTACAGGAGCCCCGTTTCTGTTTAGCCCCTCTCGCGTGTCCTCCCTCCATCCGTTCCACCTGCCTCCTTCCACTCTCCTTGGGTTTCTGGCAACGGCTGCGCCCATGTAGGCCCGTTGTCGTTAGTCCCGCACACGTGAATGTGGGGTGTTTTTTTTTCGTGAGGGTTAACAAACGTCCTTGATGCGACCACAGCTTCTTTTGCGACATCATTTTGGTTAGTCAAAGACGCCTTCGGGACATGGCTCTGATCAACATTCGTTAACATCATGTCTGCATGTTTGAAAGCACCTGAGGGGGCAAGTGTGAGTGTACATGAAGTTTGTGTTTTTTTCAAACATACACATGGGTTTGATGCCTGCTCATCTAGCTCAGCGATGGCTCAGCGATACCCCCCCACACTCAGCGATGACGCAGCGATCGTTGACCCTGATATTTATCACGGTTTATGTACGACTCAGCGATCGCTCAGCTATCGGCTCAGCGATGGCTCAGCGAAAACTCAGCGATCTCAAACCGTAAAAATTTTTGATAATCTTGAATATGTTTTATGTTTTTTTGAAACGTAACAAACAGTTTGCTCGACAACCACAATGGGTCGATCCACGATCGCAGATCATCGCCGTATCCTACGCGCATCCACCCTGCCCAACGGGTCTGGAGACGCGTGGCTAGAAATTAGATTGGCAGCTAGCGTTCCGCATACGCGTGTTGTGCACCACACAGCGTTTCATTTTAAAAGCTCACAATCGTGGGTGCAACAAGCTATATGTGGCTGATGGCGAGGTCTTGGCGTATGCGGAATGCGTGTGCCCGATCTCTCGAGAAGCCTGCTCACGTGCTGCGCCTCTTCTTGCGAGGCTGGCCCTCCTCGCCCCTGCTGCCTGAGCCCCCTGGCGCAGCCGCGTTAGCCTTGGACGTCTTCCCGCCCTTCAGGGGCGTCACGGCGTCGGCCTGGTTGACCGAGTCGTGGGCCGAGAGGGTCCCTTGCACCTTGGCGTGCAGCTCGCTCACCAGGTCCTGCGGTTGCGGAGGTGGCGGCGGGGCGGGGGAGGTCGACCGCATCGCGCCCGCTGGGGGCATCGTCCGACTTGCCTCCTCCCAGGGCCCTCAGACCCACTCCTCCGCGCAGCCCGCAACCAACCTTCGTGCATCTGCCTCCCCGTGCACATGTACCATCCGAGTCCTTCCCCTCAGCCTTATCTTGTTGTGTTCTTTCTCTCTCTCTCTCTCTCTCTCGCTCTCTCTCTCTTTTGTTTTTTTCTCGTTCTCTCTCTCTCTCTCTCTCTCTCTCTCTCTCTCTCTCTCTCTCTCTCTTCCCTCTCTTCCCCAGTCCCGTTCACCTTCTCCCTCCCCGTTCCCGCTTGCCCATCCGCCCCTGGCAAGTCCTCGACCTCGCTCAGGCCGTCCGCCATGGTGATGATCTTGCCGTCCGAGAGCTTCGACTTCACCTGGGATCGCGGCGGGGAGGGAATGGGGTGCAGGAGGGCCGTCGTCTTCGCCAACGTCTGCGGGGCGCTAGCCGTAGTCGAGTCGAAACGAAAGGGCGAGTTGGGCCGTGGCAAGGTAACAAGAGAGATAAGAAAACGGACACGGAGGATGAGGGGTAGGAGTATGAGGAAGGAGGTGGCAGAGGAGGAGGAGGACGAGGAGAAGGAGGAGGACCACATGGATGCGGAGGAGGAGGAGGAGTAAGAGGAGAGGGACAAAGGGGGGAGGCGAAGAGGGAGAAGGAGAACGAGGAATGAGGAGACGGCGACGGAGGATGAAGATAAGACAGGTGGAGGCGAGCGGCTGAACAATGAGATGGACGATGCGGAGGACACCGAAGATCAAGCAGGAGGGGACGGAGTAAGAAGAGGAGGAGGGGGAGGAGGATCACGAAGGAGGATTGGATTTGCCACAAGGGCGATGGCCTTCGTGGGCAAGAAGCCGCTCAGCAGGAAGCCCGCGAGCGTGTTCGACTGGGGCTTGCTTTCCAGGACCTCGATCTGGCTCTTCAAGCGCCCCTCGACCTCCTTCGTGGCCGCCCACTTCCAGGCGGTGTCGCTGGTGATGTTGAACAGGATGGATTTGGCGCTGCTCACGGCCTGCTGCGCTGATGCCACGATCTTCTTGGAAGATCTCATCGCTTTCTGGACTGGCCCGCTCTCAACAGCACGCCTCGATGACTTGCCGTCTCCTCCCTTACCTCCCTTCTTTTTGCCTTTTTTGTCTCCTCGGCCCGCCTCCTCCCCTTTGTCCTCGCGCCTGCTCCTCTGACCGTCACTCTTCTTGTCACGGCCTCCTTCCTCATCCTTGAGGCGGTTCCCCTTGCCCGTGATGCCCTTCCTCGAGGTCGTGCCAAGCTTCGAGCGGCGCTTGATCTTGTCCCCCTTCTTCTTCTTCTTCTTGCCGATCTTCGAGCTGGCGTCGATGGCCTGGTTGTCTGCCCGCTTGTCCTGCTGCATTGTCGTGGTCCAGCGGCGCGTGAACTGCCCCCTGTACTGCAACTGAAACCACATGAACTTGACCGTCTTCCCCCCGTTGGGATCTAACTGGCAAAACGGGTAGCCTAAGTCGATACAATGATCGCAAATCTCGTGGCACGTGTTGATAGTGAACTCATCTTCGTGGCCCGACGGGCCTCCTTCCTCGTATGTCATGCGCAAGAAGCTCACGAGGCGGCCCTGCTTGATGAAGTCCTCGCTGTACTCCTCGACGTAGGTGCGGTAGCGCTTCAAGAGGCCTTTCCATTCCTCTTCGACCCAGTCTTGCTTGAACACCTCCTTGTCGATGGCGTTCTCCCACCTCTGGGCCAGCTCGTGGTTCTTCTTGCACTGCCGAGTCAACCTGTTGCCCAGCGCAGACCGCTTCGTGAACATCTGGCCAGTCTCCTTGGCCTTCAGCAGCTCGAGGTCGCCCAGCCTGTTGCGGTCGGGCGCGTTCTCCTTCTGGATCGCCTCCTCCAACTTCGAGAATTGGCTGCGGCCAGCTGGAGCGACGTCGGGCTTCGTCAAGAACCCAGCCTTGCTGGCCTCCACCTGGCGGGCTCGCTGCAGCAACTCATCGTGGAACGTCTTCAGGATCTTCTTCTTCACGGGCGTGAGCTTCTCGGCGCGCTTCCTGGCGGCGGGGGGGCAGAGGAGGAAGAACGCATAATGGGGCAGGAGGCGAGGTGAGGTCAGGGGCAGTAGATCTACGACAGTGGATCCGATGGAATGGCCCTGGGGCGGGCCGAGTGCATTAAGACGCCAGTCCCTCCCCCTCCCCACCAACAACGAGCGCAAAGGAGCCCTCGCTGAAAAAGCGAGGGCGCAAGGGGGGATGGGGGGGGGGAATTTTGCACGAACGGCAAACACTGATTGGAGGTAAGGGGACGGAGCTGGCGAGGATTAACCCCAGACTCCTGGAGCACGGCGCGCCATCGCCGCCATGGGCAGGGGTCGTCGGCGGGCTCGTGGGGGATGCTGGCTGAGGCCCCGTGGCAGCATCAGCAGGGGCGAGGTCGGCGTTGGCCATCGAGGGGGCGCTCTCGGCGCCGCCCTCGGCGCTGCCAGGCGACGCCCTCGGCGCCGCCCTCGGCGCTGCCAGGCGCCGCTGCTCAGCCTCGAGATCCATCTCGAGCTTGGCCATCTCCTCCTTCTTCGCCCTGATGTCCTCGAGGCGCTTCTGGAGCGCGTCCGCGGTGGCAGGGTCAGTCGGTGAATCTGATGGCGATGCATCTTGAAGCTCCTCGACTTCAGGCCCCGATTCAGCTCCCGACTCGGCCTGCGTCTGGGACGCGGCTGCCGGCGGGCGCGGGGACTGGCTCGACTCGATTGCGATGGCTTCGCCATCGCCCTTCGCACGCGCCCTCCTGAGCTCCTCGACCTCGGCGAGCTCTTGCTCGAACGCGCCGATCGCCAGCCTGCCTGGGGCGAGTCAGCAATATCAAAGGGGGTCGTCCGCGCCCGTAGACGCGGACGGTTGAAATGCCTTGCCCATCGCTCGACCCCCGCGGCGAAGCTGGGGGGAGGGGACATGAGGATGAGGAGGGGATGGGGAGGAGGAGGAGGATGAGGAGGATGAGGAGGAGGAGGCGGAGGCGGAGGGGGATGAGGAGGAGGAGGAGGAGGAGGTGGATGAGGAGGAGGTGGAGGAGGAGGAGGTGGAGGAGGTGGAGGTGGGGGAGGAGGAGGAGGAGGAGGAAGAGGAGGAGGAGAAGGAGGAGGGTCATGAGGAGGAGGAGGAGGAGGAGGAGGAGGAGGAGGAGGAGGAGGAGGAGGATGGGGGTACGAGTCAGAGGCCGTTCGACGCTCGTCTACTCAGACACGGCATTATGGGGTTCCGAAGCCCTTCCTCCAGCCCCAGCCTTCGCCGCCAGCCTCGGGCAGTGTCGCATCTCCCTCCTCCCACTCCTCTGGCTGACGAGACATGGCGGATGGCGCCCTGCTGGCGAGCAGCGCTCGGTCTGGGCCCGCTGGCGAGCAGCGCTCGGTCTGGGCCCCGAAGCGGGAAGGGCTCGCGCATTCGCGCCAGCGGCCGAGGTCTTGGAATGGGCCTGCCTGAGAATTGACGCGAAGAGGATACGGGGGCGGAGAAGAGAACGATGAAGAGGACATTGCGCGGAGGAGGACGAGAAAGAGAGGACGTGGGGAGGCAGAGGGGAAGAGGGGAGGGATGAGGAGAAGGTGAGGGAGGGAGAGGCCGAGGGGGAGGAGGACGAGGAGGAGAATGAGGGTGGGGATGGAGACGGAGAAGGGGGAGGAGGCGGCAACGGGACTCGATCCTCCTAGAACGGTCGGCGGATCGGAACCTTGAACGCCCCTTCAGCCTCATAGTGGTTACTACCGTGTGACAGTTACCCTTATGGTCGACGGGCTCCCCTCCTCCGCCTCCTCTCAGAGCGCGTGAGCTAGTCCCCCATAGTCTCCCCCTGCGCCTCCCTCTGTGTCTTACTCTACCGTGACTGCCGTACATTTCGCTTCAACCTATTTCAGATGTTGGCGCCGTTCTCTTTGGGGCCATCCCCAGACGGCGGGGGCGTGGGGGGTGGGCGATCGTTGGGCGCGCGCAAGCGCTTGACGGGCGGGCGGGGCGACGGGGGTGGGTTTGGTGGGGGGCGGCGGCCGAAGCTAAGCAGCGTTCGGTGCGACAGCCGTGCTATTCAGACGACAGGGGGGCTGATGGCTTCAGGCGCAACGCACGGACCTCGAACAATCCGACAACGTCGCGCCGCCCGCCTTCTCAGCGCCTCGCGCTGTGCTCCACCGCGAGGCCGCCCGCCTGCTCCGCGTCCTCATCGATGTCCAGCGGGCGCCACGGCGCTGTTGGCGGCTGGTTTGCACTGCAGCTCTAGCAGACGACGCGTGAGAAGACTCCTGGACAGGACAGACGGAGGGTTGTTACGAGGGGCGATGAGAAGACTGAGGGTCGTGGGTAACGACAGGGGCAAGAATGGCGATTAGAAGACGGAGGATGCGAACAAAGGTTGAGGAGAAGAAGAGGGGGGATGAGGAGAAGGAAGGGAGACGAGGAGGAGGAGGAGGAGGAGGAAGAGGAGGATAGTGCGGCGGCGCAGCGATGGCTTCGGCGCTGATCGGAGCCGCGGTCGGGCAGGAGAGGACGCCGCCGACGACGTCGCCGCGGGGCTGCCCGACGAGCCCATGCAAGGATCGGACGGGCGGGCCCGCGGATCGCATCCTCCAACTCCCCAACCCCACCCTCCCCCCCTCCACCCGCCCGCTGCCATCCCACGACCTCCCCCTCCCACCCCATCCCTACACTACTTCCCGATCTGCTCTATCGATCGCGCCCCTCAGCGCACAGTCAAGTTCTCGCGCGCATTCAGCCGAGAGCCGCCCTCGGACAAGGTATCGATCAGAGCCCGTTAAACCCCAACGAATACGACCGACCGAAATGCATTGCCACAAAAATAAACGAAGTGAGTCCTGCGCGGAGGCGCTGGCATGCTGATGCCGCTGGTGTCGATGCCATTGTCCACGCGGTGCGAAGCCTGGTGCTTCCTCAGCGGCTCTTTGCTGGTGCCGTCATCCTCGCAGCTCTCCTCGCTTTCGTCCTCTTCCTCAGCTTCGCCCTCTTCCTCCTCTTCGCCCTCGTCCTCCTCTTCCTCCTCTTCCTCTTCTTCCTCATCTTCGCCCTCGTCATCCTCTTCCTCCTCTTCTTCCTCTGCCTCACCTTCCTCCTCTTCCTCTTCCTCATCGCTCTCTTTCGCGACTAGCTTCTTCCCGCAAGCCGCTGGCCGCTTGCGCGGGCGCATGCTCTCCTCACTCCTGCTCGCCTTGGCCCGCAGCGCGGCGGTCCTCCTCTCCGAGCTTCCGACAGCAGCTGGCCTTCTGATGCAGCCGTGGCCTGAAGGCCGCTTCAGTGCGGCCGCGTGGATGCCCGTGTCTTCGTCGCTGTCCTCTTCCTCCTCCTCCTCCTGCGCCTGCTCCGTCTCCTCCTCGCCCTCCTCCTCCTCTTCGTCGCCCTCGCCCTCCTCCTCCTCTCCGCCCTCCTCGTCGCAGTCTTCGTCGTGCGCGTCTTCCTCATCGGCCTCTGCCTCCTCCTCCTCTTCCTCTTCATCAGCGCCTCCCTCTGCATCGGCTTCCTCGTCTTCTTTGTGTACTTGCTCCTCTGCGTCCTCGTCTTCTTCTTCCTCCTCCTCCTCCTCCTCCTCCTCGTCCTCGCCCTGATCTTCGTCGCGGCCGCTCGCCGCGGCAGCCGCAGCACCGCCCTTCGCCCCCTTCGTGGTGCGGCGGCTGTCGGTCGCAGCTGCTGGTCTCTTCAGCGCAGGTGCCGTTGTGCCGCAAGCTGCGGCTGGCCTCTTCATGCCGCTCCTCGTGCTTATCCTGTTGTCCATCTCGAGTTTCTCAGCCTTGAGGTCATCGAGGCTAGTGGATCCAGCGCAGTGCCGTTTTGCTGCTTGCACCATCCATTTCTTTGCTGTTGCTGGATCGTGGTGCTTGTGGCTCAGCTGCAGCCGCTGGCGCCCGCCGACGGTCAGCACGACTCCAGTGGTAGTAGTACCATCCTTTTCTTTGGACAATGCTTTGAACTCAGCCCTCACAGTCTCACCGTTCATCTCGCCAGAGTAGTAGATGTTGGCACCTGGCTTCGTGCGCATCTCAGAGGGGGCAGGGCGATCAGCAGCGTCAATTTCAGCTGGCTGTCGTTTCTTCGTGGTCGCTCTCCTTCTCGGAGTGCCACCGCCGCGTGAGCTGTCGTGCTCCTGTCGGGTCAGGGTGTTCAACACAGCTGTGCTTCCATCTGGCCACCTCGCCGTCATGAACGCCGTCGCTGGGGCGCCAGGGTCACAGAAGATGTCCCGAGTCGTCTCTGGCGAAGCGTCGCGTCGTCCTTTCCTCCACGCCACGCCAGTGGATTTGTCATGCCCGATCTCTAACTCTGTGGTGGGGTCTCCTCGTGCACTGCTCCTCTCGCCCAGTCCCTGCTGCAATTCTCTCAGGCGCTTCATCCATCCTGGGATCGGCTTGCCAATCTTCTCCTTGTTGATGGGGTCATACAAGTGCTTGCACATGCTTCTGATCCTGGCTGGGGGGACGGGGCGCGCGGGCAGCTGACGGGAGGACGACCCCCTATCGGACTTCACCGTGTACGGTTCCAGATGGAAGGGGTTGTTGGGGCAGGGCGTGGGGGCCGCCGTCGCTATCGTCGTCGTCGTAGTCACTGTTGTCGCCGTCGCCGTCGTCAAGCCCTCGTTCGACCGATTCGATCCCTGACCCCCGCTCCTCAACGAGTTCACGGCGGCCCAAGACTGGGCAGCAGCGTCGTCGAAGTCCCACTCGGCCTTCCTGGACCGCGCGACCGCCTCGAGCGATCGCAACATTGCCTTCTCATTGAAGGACAGGTTCGGCGCTATCTTCTCCAAGGGCGCCAGCAACTGTGGATGTTGTTTTTTCGCTGCCCCCCATGGCCCGATGCACCCCCCTCGGCAAACGAATGTCACGGCACCCCCTCACACGATGGCCCTCGCAGCCCCATAAGAGAAAGGCCAGCGCCAGCAAGCGCGCGCAGCGTTGCTGGTGCTGGCCTTTCATAAAACAAGGGGAGGGGTTCAATGTCATCGTCGTCATCGATGCCGCCGGCGTCGGCCGTCGGCATCGAGCCTTCGCGTGCTTCTGGATCTCTGAGATGGCCGCGTCCGTCAGCCGATCCTGCCCTGGTGAGCTTCCGTACTTGAGGAAGTCGGGCGCGGAGATGTGGTGCTTCAGCGCCGCCGCCAGGGCATCCTCGTCCCTGGGGGGCGGGCGGTGGCGGGCGGGGCAGCGTTCGGGCTGACGCGGGGGTGCTGGGCGATATCTGCGAGGGCTGGTTGCGAAGAGAGCTGGGAACGGAGGAGTGGTTGAAGGGGATGAGGGGCGGAAGGGGATGAGGGGGGGAAGGCGCATGCGTACTTAGACAGAGATCGGGACACACAGACGTGGGTGTGGGCACAATGCGAGAGCGACCGACACGATCTCTCTCTCTCTCTCTCTCTCTCTCTCTCTCTCTCTCTCTCTCCCTCCCTCGCTCCCTCCTCCGCTCTCTCTCTCTCTCTCTATATCTACAGTTGTCTGCTCCATGCCGACCCCGCTCTACTCACTAACCTATCCCGCTCTAACCTACCATTCAGCTGTTTCCCTGCCTGCGTGATCTGAGCTGCTCTGACCACTATGCTCTACGCTCCTACGCCGCGATGCGCTCGACTCCCCCATGCAGCCCACACGGCGCAACCAACAGGGGAGGGTGGCAGCGAAAGAGGACAAGCGAGTGATAGTGAGAGATCAGGGATGACGAAGGCAGAGAGAGGGAGGGAGAGAGATCGAGGGCGTAGAATTAGCAACACAGATGTGCAATTTATATACACGGTGGGGACGCGAACGATACACGATAACGAAACAGAGGGGACCCGCGACGGAGAGGGAG